GCCCCCGATGTATCATTTGAAACTGCACAATCTTCCTATCCACTATCAGCAACTGCGACATGAATAACAGAACCAGCAAACTTACGATAAGAGTAGCGGGCGTCAAGAACTTCCAGAAGGTTGTGAAGAAAAGATGCCAGGCACGACTGTGGCGACCAATCATCATTTCAAGGTCTTGCAAAAATCTGTCGGCACCTGCAGGGCGTAGAAAACACCACAAAAAATCAATGACATGACCATGTTGTACAACTTCTTACAATAACTAAACGTTGCAATACCAACAGTTTGATTCGTCAGGGTGAGAGCCATAAGACAGAGACATTCTAAAATATGTTATGCAACCATAGACTCACTACCAGCTTCCATTCTGTCTGTCAAGACCAAGCAAGGCTGAAAGGGATATTGGATCACAGCAGACCGAGAGATACTTAACAAAATAACTTCCCTGTGTGGGAATTGAATTCACATCTTGTGCATGCAACGACGGAGAGCCTAAACATAACCATTACACCACACTGTTGGTGGCCATTAGACAGAATTATTAGGTTACATTACAAGGAAGCACATAAAGCACTGTTTATTCTTCTGTGGATGTCAGGTAACCTCATCTTATTCCCTGCAGGATCACATGATGTGTTAAACAAATTATTCTTTGCCATACATTGAAACCGCATGGACATGGGTGGAAAAAAACCTCATGAACAACCTTCAAACACTTTTCTCTTATTAAGCATGTTCTTTTGTCCAAAAACTACACGAAAACTGTTTCTCATGGGTGGTTTTCACTTTGACCCACATTACTTGAACTTCTTTCAATGAACACAAGCTACTTCCCTAAAAAAAAGGTGCAAAGTAGCCTGCACTCTAGCATGCACATTTTGAAATCGACAGGATGCGGAATTTTTTTTAATGTACCAATTTTGCAATGTACATGCTGTAAATACTATGAATATATATATTCAAGAAAAATTCTGAGACCTGAAAATCACTATGTGTCAATTTCACTATGTGCCTGTTTCCCTATGTGTGTGCTAAACTGTATTTCTACAGATCGTTCCTAAGCTCCTGTAATCTGCATCTTGGGCAAATCAGGTTTCTCAACAGTATTCTTGACATGTCTACTTACCGTAGATCCAGGCTATAATGATACACTCTAAGATGGCCATGATGAAGACGCCATAGGAAGCAGCGTATGTGTCCATGAGCTGGAGCACATACATGCCACCCTGTGGATCAATTGTTGGGAGTCTTTAGTTGTGAGACCTTTCCATTCTTGGATACATAAGGCAGAATGTTATTATGACAATTTTTTTTCAAGTCAGTTTCAGAGAAAAAGAACCCAACAATCACATTATAATTTTTGGTAAATTAGCACTATAGCAACCTAATAGCAAATTTAAAAAAAGGGAGAGAGCAAGAGAGAAAGAGAGAGAGAGAGAGA